TATTTAGAGGATTCTTTCTATATTTGCAGCACGGTTTTTGACGAATGCAGAAAACTTTTTTGCGGCATTCTTTAAATGGTTTTTCATACTGAAAGTCACAAAGCAAACACTCTCCTCATCGTGGAGCTGTTAGCTCTGGTGTCCATCGTGGTAGAATGTACCTTTCAGTCAGCAACTGGCAGAAAGTACCAAAGGTAAAGATCTTGCACGTAGATATTATTGGAACCTGTAGTTTTAGTCACATGTTATATGTAAGGACAGTGGGACTTAGCTGGGTCAGGAATTTTTCCTAATTAAACCACAAACAACAGAACAAACAGAGGGAACCACAAACAGAAATGAGGACCCTCGGCTGAGAACATTCATTCTGCAAACTTCCATTCCTGCCTACAGAAACAGTCCTGGGATGCAAGTGAGGAGCTGGGCACTTAAGGCTGTCCAGTGGCAGTGTCTGGGGACGTGTGGTGGCAGCAGGGGACAGGAGGCTTTTACTGTTAGACAGGAGACCCTGGGAGTGAGGTAAAGGGCTACGGACTACCCGCAGAGCCCCGGGTCTGGTGATTTGCTTGGATGATCCAGTGTCTCCTCACTGTTCTCAGAGTTAAATTCACTGCAGTAAAATCCTACAAAGCAGAGGGGGAAAAGTTCACAGGAAGTCGGGGAGAGCAGTGAGAGCTACCAAGGTTCTCCTCTGGGACAGTCATACCTGGTGTGCCTACATCTCCAGCAAAACCTGTGACAGTGTGGAAAAAACAGAAGGGAACTCCACAGCCCAGGGACTCACAGCCCAAGGTTTCACCGTCCCATCCAGTACATGGGTGGTGAACCTGTGGCACGTGGGCCGCAGAGGGCCATTTGTTCTCACTGACCATTCCAAAAGGTTCGCCATCCCTGATCAAGCTATATCAAAATTCCAGACTCTCAGGAGGAAAACAGGTGCTTGATGGGAAGTTCACTGTTTAGGAGGAGGAGTGGAAACCTTCTGAGTTCCAGAAATACTGACTCGGAGTTGACAGGGGAGTCAAATACATGTACACGCACATGAGTCTATGTCATATATCCCACCGGTGAAACACATGAATACCTTGCACGTGTATGAAATGCTTTCCCTTTTGGTAAACAGCACGACTGAAACTGATTCTGATAAGAAGCCCACATCTGTTGCGTCTCTCTCTTGTCCTGATTGGAGAAGCAGTGCAAAGCCCGTAATTAGAACTGTCTTCTTAGGAAGCAACTTGACTTTGAATCGGCGGTGAAGGGCACAGTGGGAACAGATAACCTCAGTGTGAAAATATTATTCATGTTATTAAAGCATCTGCATATTAGGTAATTTTCCAAAGACCCTCAATTATTTTTTTACTCCACTTGCATTTATCGAGGACGGGTGAGTTTTCACTTGAGCTCTGTGACCGTGCCTTGATTTGTTTTTTAATAGTAGTTCATCTTTTTCTAGGTGCCTGTTTGTAAGCACATTGTATTTTATAAGCGCAGTGTGAATAATAATAACAGTGATGTTTTTAATAACAAGTCTCTTGAGGTTTGTTTCAGAGCTGAGAAGAGGGTGCTGGTGAGAGAAGCTTTAGAGCAAAAGGTCAGGACGGTGCGTGCTGAGGAAGGGCAAGCACCCTTGCCCCTCTTACGTGGGACTTGCCAGCTCTTACGTGGGTACCTGTAGCTTCCTAAATGTTCTAATGTAAAGTCGTCCCTCCTGTGAGCTCTGCCACATGGACAGGTGTCTGCTCCAGGTGAGTAGGCACAGCGCAGCTCTGACGGCCCTCTCGCCATGGCTACTGCACTGAACATCCACGGCTCGTAGACTGCAGCTCTGGGCTGCTTTTGCTCGGAGGTGCTGCCCCTGGATTCACCCTGAGTGATCTTTCTACGTTCCCCGTGTACTTTGTTTTTTAATCAAGCTGTTCTCTTTACATTGTGTGGGTGGGAAATATAGTAACCGGTAAGGGATACTGCTTAGAATTGCAGTTCTGCAGTCTGATGGACGAATCTGCTTCCTGGGGGTATCAGGGTCTCCATGCTCACCTTGGGTTTCATCCAAGCAGTTCCCAGCGTTCATTACCTTAACGCTCCCCAGCAGCGACCCACTGCATAGAACCCGCCTTTCTTCCTTGCTACTCAGCGTGAGAATTCCTACCCTTTCCTGCTGGCTCCCTTAAGTCTCTCTCCATCTCCTGTGACACCGGACTCACAGTGGAGGTAATTAAGGAAGTGGTAAGAGATGTTCTTCATTCTGTGTGGATTCACAAAACAGAAGAAAACTGACTTTCTTTAACTTGGTTTTTTTCTGCCCTGCTGGGAATTGAGCCCAGCGATGAAGTTAGGGAAGCATGCTACCACTGAACTGTACCTCCTAATCTTTTGATTTTTTATTTTGAGTCCCAGCAACTTGCCCAGGGTGACCTTGAACATGCTATCCTCCTGCCTCAGCCTCCTTACTAGCTGGGATTATGACGTGCACCACTATACCCAGCTTCTTGTGTGTCAATTCATATCCTGTATTGTTCAGACTTTAGGTGGGCATCCCAGTCACTGCAAAAGAAAAGGTGGCTGAAGAATTTGGGTTTAAAACAAAATAAGAAGGGAAAAAATAAAATCAAAACAAAATGCCTCTGATAAACACATCCTCACATTTGGACAACTGATAGAGATGGTTTGCAAATTTGGTTCCTACTGGGGAAAATGAAGAGGAAAACATAAAAGTGGAGATCTCAAGTCTGTGGCATAAACCCCCAAGTTTCCTAAAGCTCAGAGGGAAAAGGCCTTTCCTCTGTGAGTGTTCTTGGCGGGCGTGTGCAGACCAGCATCACCGTCCTTTCCTTGCTGGGGAAGAGCCCTTGCGGGGTGCCTGCGCCCCACCCTGCAGGCACCTCGAGGGGCAGGCAGATCCCTCGGTAGGGACAGCAATAGATTTTCCCAGCTGCCTCTCCGTAAGACTGCCTTCCTTTGAGGCTCAGCCTGGAGCCTGAGTGCCCTGTTGCCAAGGCGCTGGGAGTGGGGAAAAGGTGGTTCCTTTTCTCTGATGAGATTTAGGAATGCAGCCCTGCTGGCCAGTGGCTGCTGCTTCCCTTGGAGATGAATCCAAGGAGGACCGATCAGTTGAGATAAAAACCAAAATCGTCCTCCAAAAGTAACTCTGGATTTCCTTCAAACTGATACAGGGTGGGGTTCTCACCCTAGCTGCTTTATCTTTATAGCAACCATTTGGCAATGTTAAACATTCTGGCCAGGCCTCATGTTGTAACACTTAGAAGTAAAATATCATTAAAGTGTATGATGCCCAGCATGATGGCACATGCCTGTTATCCCAGCACTTGGAAGGCTGAGTCAGGAGGATCTATGCAAGTTCAAGGAAGTCTGGGCTAAAAGGTGGTTCAAGGGCAGCCTGGACTACATAGTGAGACCCTGTCTCAGAAACAAAAACAGAGAGACAGACAGACAGAGAGGCAGGAAGGGAGAGGGAAAAGGAGAGAGAATCATGTTATCTCCAGTGGAAAAAGCCTTAAATACATCATACTGAAATATAATTAACTACATATGAGCAGTGGATCCTGGGGACTTTGGTCTTGGGTACAGAACAGGCTGGAGAAAGTGAACTTCAGAACTCTGCCTAAATTTTTATCACAGCTCTCCATGTTTCAAACCAAAGACAAGCATCCCTACAGAATCTTTTGCATTCCTTTTTCTAAAATTAATCTTCTAGTGGGCAGACACATATATTTGAAAATGGAATTTAATTCCACTCTGACTAATGGTTCATAGGGAGGGTTTTTAGATCCTGTGTTTTCTCTGATACACCTTGGCATGTTTTCCAAATTGCTCACAACTGCATTTCACACAGTAACCGAGGACAGAAGGAGAGAAGTGTTGACTTTAACCTTCAAAGGATGCCAGTGTAATAAAGAAGTCTGTTTCAAAGCGGTGCACATGATTATAATTCCCTGTGTGTGATGGACTCAGAGAGAAAAATGTCTCTAAAAAGTTGGCATTTGATAAGAAAAAAAATGCAGACATTTAATACAATGAAACCTTATTTTATTTCCAAGACTACAAAGTTAGATGGAAAATGCCGATAAGGGCTGGCTTTCCGTAATGACTTCAGTCTGCTCCTTAACCTCTGACATCTCTTACCGTGTTTCTGTTGCCAGGCAACCCAGAGAAATAAAACCTGTGTGCATAAAAGAAGTTCCCAACACAAGAATGGGCTGTATTCTAGGAGCTGGTGAGCCAGTTATTTAGAATTTTAAATGCGTTTTTCTCATGTTAAAAATATTACAAATGGCAGTTCAGTACCCAAGACAGCCATTGTAAATGTGTTTAACTCATAATTCTCTTGACGCATTGAAAAGCAGCACCTTTTCTATCTAAAATAACGTAATGGTTCTTTTATTCCAAATGTCAAATCCCACAAAATGAGAAATGCCACCGAACAGCCAAAGTAGAAGCTATAAAGCTTCTGTACTGCAGTGTGTCCTCTTCATCCCCCAAAAAGTGAAATGAAGTCATGTATTCTTATTCTAAATATAATTTTAGCAAGTCTTGCTGCTGGATTTGAACGGTGAGAAATGGTGATAAAAGGAGCCATTGAGGCAAAGTGAAGAAGTGATTGTTGGTAGCCAGAAGCCAGGCGGGGACCAGAGCACCTGAGACACCCCTAGTACTTACTTCTTTGGGCTTTTAAAGATGGTAGAAAGCTCCTCCCACCTGCAGGCAGAGACCTGGACTTCCTTATAAACATTTCCACAGCCGCACCATAACTAACACAATGATGCTTCTTAGAAAGACATGTAAGTGTACATTTTAAAAGGATCGTACAATCACACCTAGCCAATATGAAAAACAACCAAAAAACACAAATTGCAAGTTTGAAAGGCACCCGCCTTCCACTCTGAGCAAAGTTCACCTACTAGAAGGGCAAAAACCGGAGGTGCCACAAAGTGGAACTGTGTTATCAAAATACACTTTGATTATACTCACACTTTATGAGCTGTTGCCATGGGGAAGTATATTATGATTTCTCCTCGGGTTGCCAGATAAACACACCCCTACACACACAGGTAAAGACATTGAATGACAGTGACAGAAAAGTGCCTGTCCTTGAGAAACACAGAGAGGGTGTCTTCATCCCATATAGTCTTCTCTCTGGGTCGGTCCTCAAGACATTGGGTGGGGCTAAAATGTCTTTGGAGTGGAGTCTCCTCTTCCCTTCTGGCCCCTGGGATGCCTCTCCCCTGCAGGGCGCATTCACAGTGAGGTATCGATAACCAGAGGGCCACTTTACACAGTCTGCCTCAGCCCCCCAGACTCTCAGTCACTGTTGGGGTCATGCACAGAGCAGGGACAGTGCTGTGGAGTTAACAGGTGAGTGACTGATTTTAAGCGGTGGATTAACTTGATGCAATAAGTACCAATCACTGCTAAAAATACGGGAGCAATTGAATGTCTCTTTATGTTCTGCTTGCCCTAGGAGAGCCTGCTGTCCTTGTCCTGTTGTGCCATTTCTGCCTAGTTTGCTCCCAGTGTGGAGGACACATTGTGAGTGTGGGTCAGATTCCAGGTTGCTGAAAATGATTCCCAAATGCTGTGCCGCCCTGTTGTCCAAACATCGTTGAAAGAGTTGTCTGCGCGATGAGAGAATATAAAGTAAAAAATAGCCTTTATTCCAAGGACGGGAGAAAAGTCCATGACCGCTGGGGCGTGGCTTTTTCTTCTGGAAACGTGGGGCATGGGATGGCACTTAGGGCAGGCACTGCTGGCTCGAGCAGCCTATTGGAATTTTCTTCACGCACAAACAGGAGCTGGGGAAGAAGCAGAAAATGGTAGGCGTTCATGCTTTGGCCTTCTACCTCGTTAGACCACCACAGTAATTTCTACTAAGGCAAGAACCTTTCATTCCTGTCTTTGGATTGTTAGGAAAAGGGCCAAGTCTCTCTCTTACTACTTCTTGCTGAAAGCAGGTGCCATACTGGGGTTCGGGAAGCTTGACAGGATGACGGTTGATGCCCATGTAGAAGCTGGTACCAGGTGTTTTAGCCAGAACAACTTCATCATTGGTGAATGCTGCATCTTAGACTGGAAAAACAAAGAGACAAGGTGCTATGAGGAGGTAGGCCACTGTCACATTTAAGGACCCAGGAGAGGTAGAAGGAAGGGTGCCTTTGATTTAAATATGCCATTGCATTAGGACCACAGTGAGGTAAGATTCTGAAAAATAAGTGTGGGGTTAGGAGGGGTGAAGTTATGAGAGGTGATTATTCCCCCATCTGAAAGGGTAAAAGTTAAAAGTGTAGGTAGATAGGGCTTGTCTCTGGTCCAGGAGTTGAGCTGGAAAGAATAAGAGAGGTGGGGAGGGCCATGGCTGCGTCACTACAAGGGAGATAAGAGCCTAGGCCCACAGGGATCTCATGTTTGACTAAACAGAGAAAACTAAGACAGTTGTCACATAGAACAACATAAAGATGATCTTATGCATGATATGGGAGTCTTTATTCCTAAAGACTGTTAAGAGTCCTGCTGTAAAAAGGATAATTAATTAATAGAATATAAGGAATTAGGAACCAAATTGCATAACAAAACATGACTTAGCCTGAGAGTTGCGTCTGCGAGGCCTTCGGGAGATGGAGACAGGTGGGCAATAGAAGGTGAGATGACCACTCAGGATGGTTAGATTTAGGGCTGGGAGGGAGCCACTTAGCTTGAGTGATATGGAACCAGGATAGCAGTCCAGCAATTTTGACTGCTGTTGTGGTTGCCAAGAAGACCATGTAGGGGCCACTCAACCTTGGTTGTAGTCCTTGGGATGATTTCCTGTAACAGGACTTTAGTAGGTCTCACTGGTTGTGGGAAAGGCTTTTATCCATCCTGAAAAAGTACAAACAAAGGTGAGAAGATATTTGAGAGTTTTGTGGCAGGGCACATTATAAAATCTACCTGCCAGTCTTGACCAGAGTTGTGTCTGAGGAATGGATGAATAGGAAAGGAAGGGGGTGCTTATGTGTCCTGGAGGAGAGGTTTCACTATGGAGATAACAGGTGTAAGTTGTTGAGACCTCAGAATGTCTGAGTTAGTCTGCATAAACACAAAGGAGTAAAAAAGGCATTTTTAAGATCTATGACTGTACAGTGAGTGGTGGACGGAGGAATATGAGAGAACATGGTATAATATGAGAGAACATGGTTTGGCACCACTGGGTGGATTGGGGTAATGGCATTACTGACTACCACAAGGTCCTGTACTAGACAGTAAGACCCATCAGGCTTGAGTACCAGGAGAATGGGAGTATTATAGGGCAAATGGGTAGGTTTAAGAAAACAGTTGTCTAAAAGGCACTTGATTATAGGTGTAAGTCCCTGTAAATATTTGGGAGCTATGGGATGTTGGGGAACGCAAGGAAAAATTGAAGGATCCCTGAGACGTATTAAAATAGGCATGGCATGGGTAGCGCAGGTGGGATTGGAGGTATCTCAAACTATGGGATCAACCAGAGAAGAAGGGAGTCTGGAACCTGCATGGAATAGGCCTTGTCTGCAAAGGCTATGTAGGTTAGCCGTCAACACCCACTATAGAATGAGGACTTAATATAGCGGCCTGAAAAATTCAGGAAGAACACTATACATGGCTTCTATGTCCACAAGTACAGAGAATGTCTTACCTGAGACCTCCAGTAGGACTTGGGCTCTGAGAAGGACACCTTAATGGAGAGCTGTGGACCCTGAGTCCCATCAGTCTTCAGCAGCAAGTCCGAGTAGATCAGTCAGCAATGAGTCTGGTGATGATATCTCCTATGAGAGCAAGGAGTTAGAGGATGGCTTACCTGCTCTCTGGAGGCTAGGACAGTTGCTCTTCCAATGGCCCTTGAGATTGCAATAGGGGCAAGGCCCCAGAAGAGTGCCGGGGTTGGGGCACTCTCTTGCCAACGTCCTTTTTGTTGCACTTGAACCGTGGTCAGGGAGGAGGGGCTCAGGCAGCTCCACCTATGTAGGTTTACCTGTCTCAGAGCTCCAAGTGTCACTGCTAAAAGATCAGATTGTTATTTTTCCGTTTGATTTTTATCTCTGTTGTTGAGAACATGAAAAGCCATATTAAGAAGGTCTCCCGGTGGGGTTTGAGGACCAAATTTAGCCTTTTGTCTTGGGATCTGGCCCACATTGGAAGGTATCTGTCTCCTCCACAGTCACAAGACATCTGGTTTTTGTCTTGGGTAGGAGTATAGCTTTAAGTCTAAAGGAGACAGAGGCAAAGAATCAATTAAGTATGCAGGAGTTAAATAATAGAATCAACAGGGTATTTATGATTATAACTTTAGTAATGGCTTCCCAATAGGAGGATAAGGATAAAGTCCAGGGAATATCAGAAACTGACATGTCATTCATTTGTCATACACACATTTAGGTTTTACAGTTGTACAAGTATCTCCTGTGCTGTTAGAATGTCTAATGCCATCTGATTTTTGGAGGATGGCCTGTTTTATTAATTTATCTTTTTATTTAGGAGAGAAATCAGCTGCAGTGTCATTTAACATCAGTTGAGTATAATTAATTATGGCCCCAATATGTATCATATAACTTTCTTGGGAAAAGGTCTGGTGGATCCCAGCAAAAGGAATTTATAATTATCTCAGTTTTAGTTGTTAAACATCCAGAAGATTGATAACAGTACAGTGCAGTACAGGCAGTAAGCCTAACATAGGACATTACACGGAACTATTATTTTCTATTAACCGTGGGTGTTTTAACATTTGAGCACTGAAGAAATTTGTGACATTGTTTGGACTGCTCACTATATAAGCATCTCTAAGTATAACATATATATTATACAAATTTTTGCTTAAAAATTATCATTTGACTGGTGACCTGTGTTGGTCTGACCTGAATCTCCTGGCTGGAGCACAAGAAAAAGGCAAATGTCTGGATCTGAAAGAAAACACTTGTCATCATCAACAATCCCAATTTTATATTTTAGGCATGAATATACCATCAGATCAGCAACAATGAATTGTCTTAGTCCTATGAACTTTAGTTGAGGTGTCTCCCATGTCTCCCATAAGGCTATGGAGATTATTGGGGCCTCCAATTAATGAACAAGAGCTGGTTAAAGTTACCAGGTGGCCACTTTCTTGTTTGTCAGTTGGAGTCCTGTCCAAGGTCTCCTTGCCCCAAGGGATTTTGTTTAACCAATTTTAGCATCATTTTGACCAGCTGGCAACTAGGTGGAAACATGTTTTTAAAATCTATAGCCCAAATAAAGCTTGATTAAATGATCCGAAAATATAAAAGAGGAGGAAAAATTGTTGAGCTCAAATAAAAAGACAAGTGGACAGACAACAGATATATAGACTGACAATCATTTACAAAATTAGAGTGCACTCAAATATATTTGACCAATTTGAACTATAATAAATAGACTAGTGTGAACCTTTTTGTAGATCAATTAATAGAGATCTCTTGAAATAAGAATACCAGGAAAGGAACCTAATTTATGAGAAAGGAAAAATAGGAAAGTAAATATTAGCTAATCTCTTGGGAACAGGGCCAGCCTGCTCCTGAAGCAGGAGCAGAGACTGAGGCTAAGAAGGCTGTGGCTGCCGATAGCCAACCATCCAGCAGGCCTGTGTTGGCAATTATCTGATGATTGGCTATAAAACGGCTGCTTGCCACCATGGGACAAGGAAACAGGCTGCTGGGGGGTCCCCATGTCCCACAAGGGGACAGCCATTGACCCTAAGACCCATTGCAAGATGGTGGCACCCTGCCACCTGGCGGAGGGCTGCAAGATGGCAGCTGTCCTCCATGCCAGCTGCAGCAACATGGCTGCTGGTAACCACGTGGCCTGCCAGCAGGCTGGAAGGCCCGAGACCACCTATGATGAGCCAGTGGAGGAAATGGCGGTGCAGGGGAAGGGGACCATGAACCCTCTGATGGGACAGACAGCTCAGGTAGGAGGGACTGAGAAGCTGGAGACTGGGAGAGACGCTAAGGGAAGGATTAGAGGCCGCTGTGGGTGAGGAAGGGGAAGAGGACGGTGCAGGGGACACAGAAACCTCTGGCTGAGAAGGCTGCGGGTTTGGTATGAGAGATGCAGAGGAGGAGCAGTGAAGACAGGAGCCGCCTCATCTAAGGGGTCCGGTGGGCAGAGAGGGAGATCCTGGGGGTGCAGAGCGAGCCGGATGTGTTTGGGCCATCACGGAAGACAGAGTGGGAGAAGGACACGTCCTCACAGTGAAAAGGCCTAAAGATGAAGGGTTCTGCCAGCTTGCCGCCATTGTGACAAGGCATAAATAAAACATCAGCTTTAGAGGCCAAGAGCACCAAGGTTATGAACCAGGCGCCCCAGAGGTGTGTTTTTCGGGGGACAGGAAGTGGTCCCCGTGACCGAATTATAAGTGAGCCGAGAGAACAACTCCGCCTTGGGACGTGAGAGCTTTAGCTCCCCCCAAGGAACACGAAGCTGTCCCGGCCACACCTATCAAAAGGAGCATCACCGGTTTTGAAAGTGTGACACGACAAGTCCCAACACCCGTTCTCTTCAGGGAAGAGTGTGACGTGGGGTCCCAGGGCACATAAATGTCCGTCTTGCCCAAGCTGTGCGGCCTAAGGAGCAACAAAACTGCTATCTCCGTAGGGGACAGCAGGATGGGTTTCTGTCACAAGCTTGCTAAGGCACAGATGGCAGCTCACCGGTGTGGAGTGAGGAAGGTCGCGGTTGCATGCGGATTAGAGCAGCAAGGAAACAGTCCCTGAGGAAGAAAAGGGTGGTTCTTAGGCAGGGCAGCCCCAACTGGCAGGGGCCCCAGGAGCCACTCACTCTGCCATGCGAGCCACACAGGCACCATAATGAAAGAGTTTTCGGCGTGATGAAAGAGAGCATAAAGTAAAAATAGCCTTTATTCCAAGGGCATGGAGAGAAGTCCACGATCGCCAGGGCCTGGCTTTCTCTGCCAGAACGTGGGGCGTGGGACACACATACAACCTCTGATGGGGTGGCGCTGAGGGCGGGCATTGTGACGTGCGAGCAGCTGATTGGACTTTTCTTAGCGTGCAAACAGGAGCTGGGGAAGAAGCAGGAAGTGGTTGGGGATCCCGCTTTGGCCTTCCGCCTCCTTAGACCACTGCCATAATTTCTACTGAAGCAAGAATCTTTCAATCATCCCATCAGTTCTGCAGTTCGTTGTCAAGATGCATTTTATAAAATTGTACTTAGAGAAATGTGCCTGGGGAGCTCCTATAACCAGCCCCAACTCGAACATTTCAGGAGTTCTTCAGGTTTTAATAACTGCGAGTTTGGGATTTGTTTTCCTAATTCTTCAGCTTGTGTTTCTGACGAAATTCCCTGCACTCAAAGTGGGTTAGGGCTGTGCCAGGCTCTTCACAGATTCCTGCTGGAAATGCTTAGCACGATTTGTATGCAGTAACTTCCTGTTTCCCTCTCCTCTTAATTCTTCTTCCCCTCCTCCTCCTCCTCATCCTCCTCCCTCCTTCTCCTCCTCCTCTTCTTCCTCTTCCTCCTCCTTCCTCTCTTCCTGCTCTTGCTCTTCCTCCTCATCCTTCTCCAGGGTCCTGCGGGTCAAACCCCGAGCCTCCAGGCAAGCACTTCACTCCTGTACTTCAGCCCACCTCACCCCCAGGATCCACTTCTTCCTTTAGAAAGTGAGCCCAAACTGAGATTTCAGAGCAAACACCAAAATGTGTTGCCCCGTTAGAGAGCCTGTGAGTGTCCTGAATGTAGATTGCTAGGGAGAGGCCTTGGGGAGAGTTACCTCAGCTTCATTAGTCTCTCCTTATGTTGACAAATAAACAGTCTCACCCACAGATGTTTTGCATCTCATCAGGGCTCGCGTACACCCGTGCGTACACCCGTGGGGCCCGG